TTGCTACCCCAAGTGAGAGCACAGATAACTCTCCTGAAAACCCAAAACTAATGAAACAAAGTTGTAGCTTTAGTCAACATCAAACTAATGAAGAAGAACAACCACTGTAATTCTCATTAAATCAAGATGAAGGGACTCATCTTCACAAAGAAGGGGGAAGTTGTACAACTTTGGTTATATTTTACATGCTTGAACTCTATTATTTTATGCAACATATACATGTACATCTTAAAACCTACGCAAGAAAATGCTATAACATTGGCCAAACATAAGTCTGATTAGTCAGCTTGAAGGTTCATCTTTAATTACCAATAAAGGTTTGGCCAAGTTATAATTTAATTAACTTGCCTAGGGTGTGGCCAAGTTATAATTCAATTAACCTTCCTAAATGTTGAACCTTGTAACATCCTGTTACTAAAGATAAATATGAACTACACATTTCGGCAACTGTAAAGTGATGATTGGATGTCAGAGACAAACCTCAAAGTATATAAATCCTCATTATTCTCATTTGGCATGCAGCTTCCATCTGGACCCAAGGACCTGGGAAAATCATCTGGAAACAACCTCCACTGGAACCATCCATCTACTCCTCAACATTGGAAGACAGTTTGGTAATTTGGCAACCTGCTATTACAAACTATCTACTCTGCTATTGAACTCTCATATTGTTACTTGCTTAAGTATTATTATTGCGAATAAACCATTTTAATTTAAACATTTGTTTAAAGGTTCGAGTAGAACCAGTATTGTTATAACTTGCAAACGCATAGATTTTGCCAGCAAGAGCAGTACAATATTTATATATATATGCATAGAAATTACTAATTAAAGGCTAAAGCACTATCCTAATGTTGGCTTAATTGTAGATTTGTGGCATTTTCTTATTCTAATTAACAAAATTAGATCAAATGTTTGGACAAGAAAAAATACTGACAAGTCAGCAACATTAAATGTTTATTATACTTTCTCCCCGATCCGCCCACTCTCCCCCGCCTCTTCCTCTTAAGCAACTAACATTCATTTTCAAAATAACAATAATTATTAGCAAAACAAAAGCAGGGTCCACAGAAAATGTCCACAAATGAGAAATTTCAAGACTAGATTTTGAATTGAGAAATGGTTAGGAAGAAGATAGCAACTGATATGTACTAAGGAGGGTCTCCTCTAAGGGTTAAGGCTAATGGAAAAGGTTAGGGTTAGGGTTAGGGTTAGGGTAAAAGCACTGATTTGTGGATGTTTTAAAATGATAAAAATTCATGGAACTATTTGAAAAGACCATTTGCAAAGGTAAGAGTTATTTTTCTACATTTGAACTAATTGTTTTTCAAATATTACAAATTGTTTGTACAAGACGATGTTACGAGGGATGATTTGGATTTTTTTCTATTTTCCCATTGGGTTATATTCAACTCAATTTATGCATGTAAATTTGGCGGGGCCGACAGAAAACGTCCCCAAATGAGATTTTTGAAAGCAACATTTCGGATTGAAAAATGGTTAGTAGGGGTAAAGTAGCTTTTGATTTATAGTTAGGGGGGTTCCATCTAAGGGTTAGGAGCAATCAAAAAGGTTAAGGAGAGACAAGGGCTAGGTTAGGGTTAGGATTAAATCATGAATTTGGGGACGTTTTCTGTCGTATCCAAATTCGGCATATAAACAATCAACAAGCACATCTAATTTATACCCAACTAGTTTACATCATTTGGCTGTTAATAGAGAATTTAGTCCTTTATACCAACCTGATGAAAGATGTAGTCAAGAAAAAGCACCATACTATTTTATTCAACTTGACAAATCCTATATTATAAAAACAATACGGATTTTAAATAAAGCAAGTGATCCTCAACTTTTGAGCAATATAATTATTGGCACTCAATTAACAAAAGATGTCTCTGTAACAGATTTTAGTAAATATCAACAATTTTCAACAATTGCTGGTGGCGTCTTACATTTTAGAACTGTAACAATGTACTATATTGAAAACCTCATTATGCCAGTTCAATTATAATTTATAGAAATGAATGTGGCATACTGTACAACTTTGTTATATTTCATGTTTGAACTGTATTACTTTATGCAACTTATATATATATGTCTTAAAACCTACTCAAGAAAATGCTATAACATTGTACAAACACAGGTCTGATTAGTCAGCTTGAGGACTCATCTTTAATTACCAGTTAAGATTTAGCCAAGTTATAATTCAATGAACTTGCCTAATGTGTACTTTGTTGTATTGTAATTGTAGGAATTTCTGCTTCTTCAGAACATTATTTGGCCTTTCCAATCATTTTTCAACTTACCAAAGTACTCAAACAAATAGAACCTTTCAAGTTCGTCCACATATAGTCTTAAGAAATACCAGTATTTTGTTTAAAAGTTTGTTAAGTCTTTCTAATGTACCCTTATATCTAAAGTCTAAGTATTGATATATCATTATATTAAGTGCACAAATATCCCTCTCTTTTAGGACCTTGCTTCCACGAAAGGTCTGGGACTTGTCACAATGACTCTATTACCTTCTTTTGTAAAAGTTGGATAGTTTTGAAGAGGTATTGCTTCTTGATCAACTTCCATAGTTGAGTCTGTTGGGATCTGTAATTCCTTTTGTTGGTTTTGCTTTCCTTCTTTCTAAGTATTTCCAAAGTCTTTTCCTAGTAAGTTTGCTACATCTTCTTTCATATGCAATCCATAGTATGAATGAAGTTGCATGAATAATTATTGTTGGAAATGCAATGTTAATCAGCATTTTGGTTGGAGTTTTCTGTTAAAGCATAAAACATTACAGAGAAATGAGTATAATTATGTTTTTGATCTCCCCAGTGGTTAGGCAGTAAATAATTTTTATAAACTATTAAAAACATTTACATTTTGAGTAAATTTCCAAAATAGTATTTAGGCCTAACCTGTAGAATGATTGGAGCATACAGGATTAGCTTGAAAAATCCAATGGCTATTAACAAACTGTGGATAACATCCTAGAAATGTATTTTTTCTATATTTACAATAAGCAAGTGCTAAAGTCTAAATAAAAGAAATTGTAGAAATTTTACAAAAAAAAGACTATTGAAAAATCTAACACTAGTATAAAAAAGCTTTTTCTTTGTTTTATCAATAATAAGAGAATATGAATTTTTATTATATTTTCTACAAAGAAAATCATTTAAAATGTAAAAGTTTTCATTTTCTGAACATTTAAAAACTGTTGGAAATATTCTGTTTCTTTTTCGATACGAAGACATAAACTAAAAGTAATGCAACTGGAAATTGTCTTCTTAGCACTAAATGGTAAAATGAATTTGAATTTGTTTCCTTTGCTTCCAAATATAGTTTTGAATAAAAAATATATAACATTCTCCCTTAATAATTCTCCTTTACCTTCAAGGTCAGAATAACTACAAAGAATATATTCATAAGAACTTTCAAGGTCATTTATTGATTTAAATAGAATTGTTGGTTTATTAGAATGTTTTAGAGATTTATAACAAACTTTTTTTTTTCAATAGAAACATATTTTTTCTGTAATGATCCACTTTGACTTTCTTTTAAGAAAATGTCTTTTTCTATGAATATAAATTTGCATACGTCATCACTTTATTTTCAGTAATAATTTTATAGACATTAATCAATAAATGAATTGAATCGTATCCAACATATTTGCATAAATCTTTTTTGAATATTTGTAAACCATTTTCATATTTAAGCCAAATATTTTTTGTTTCTTTATCTTGTTGAATAATTATAATTAGACCTTCAGCAGAGATTTCATTCTCTTTATAATTTTAAAATTGCTTTCTGCTCAGATTTTTTAAACAATGAAAACATTAAATGTAAAAGATGTATAACTTTCATTATCATTTTCAATATTACTTAAATGGAGAGAGATTTCCATTTTATTTAAAATTCACATGAAAATTTTGAATATTAAAAAAGAACCATTCATGAATATTTCAAATGGTAGAGTTATTTAATAACATTTGTAATTTTACCTTCTACATTTATATAATAGGTTTTTTGCTAAAACATTTAGTATGTAGGCCTATTTGCACATTAATAAATCAAAAAATGATTTGGGTTTTAGAATTGGCTGTCGCGAGTGGAAAATGAATTTGGACAAAATACGATATAGAATTCTAGAGATTAGCATTGGTTTTATAAATTATTTTTCAAACTTTATTAACAAGGTCAATTATCAATTAAAAATTGGACATATACTTAATTGACTAAAAGATATCAGTTTGCTGATATGGTTATGGTCTGCCAATCGCAAACCACTGTTTTTGTAAGCATATATTGTCCAGGAATTTTAAAGAGATTCTACTGAAACTTTCTACTTGAAAAGTTCAATGAGAAAATCATCAGGCCTTTGCTTGGGCTAGAGATATTTTTATATGAAATATGTCATGTCTTTATATTCCAGTGTAAGTACTAATATTTTGTATATGTGATTGTAATATTAAAAGCTACAAAGGAGTGTATCATTTGTAATTGTGTCATTCCGTCAAGCTCATCCAATAAGTCCTAAGAATTAGCAATGTGATAAATATATCTTTATATTTTATAACATTCTGTTGCTCTTAAATTGCAGACTATGAAGACATAGATAAATTAAAAAAAAATACATAGGGGATTTTCTGAGGAGTTCACCATCTGATTTCTGTTAACATGGCAGAGACCAACTTCTAACCAAATGGCAGAATATGCATAGCAAATGGAGATGACTATTAAAACAAAAATTGTTGATTAAGTGGTTGTTGGAGGATGAATTCTTACTACAAACATCTCAGGTCCACCTAGCTATGCTCCATAGAATTTTACTTATATTTCATATTCTTCTTACATATACATTCAGAATCTAAACACAAAGTCATTCTGAATGTATGTATTCAAGTCTTTATAATGCAAAGCATATTGAATACATTCTTCAAACTTCATTCTTATGTTTTGAATAGTTGTCGGGTTTGTTGTCAATATTTAAACACCTAGGCCACTTTATTGAACTGTCTAAACACCACAAAAATGAATCAAATGGCAGAAAGATCAATACAAATAAAAGTTTTAACTGGATGATCTAGACAATAAATCAATATATAGATTTAAACTTGGATTTATGGTTTATGAGATTTCAAAAAAACCTTGTGAGATCTATACTGAACACAGTTAGCTTGCACCGCAAAATCTCTCTTTGCTCTTTCTCTCTTTGACCGCTATTGTCATTGGCAAAACACCTGAACATTGGCACGACCTCTAGAATATTTTTTTAATAATTGAATAGTGTAAGAATGTTAAAAATGAATTGAACAGGATTCAACATTGAAAACTCTATTCGGTGTTTTTATATTCTATTTTATTCATTTATAATAAGTTTAGTATAATAAATCTAGAACTCGTTAATAATTGAATGAGGAAGGCTTTGACCAAAAGATGAATAATGTAAAATTTTCTAACTTATTTGGATAAAGATTTTTCTCCATGTGTATTCTATTACGTTCAAGGATACTGTTCTGTTATTCTGGAAGAGTAATTTCTTCTCTGCCTGATCGTTTAATATTCCATTGTCTCTATCACTTTATTCCTATAGCTACTTCCATTTAATAGTCTAATTGTTTATTAGAAACCAGTCTAAACTTATTTATAGTTCTTTTATTATGAAAGCTATTTTCATAACAATAGCTGCTTACTTTAAATCATAAACTGGATATACAGGCTTGTCCTGCTGCCTGCAAGGTTGAATGCCTGAAAAATATCAATTTCCCGTAAGAATCCAAGTAAATATCTGAACTCCTCCCACTTTTCTATATTGACAAAGATAGAGGGCCAGTGACATATTAATGGCCATACCATACCTATTAATTGCTAGTTTATGTTGCACATTTTTAGTCACAAGTTCTCTCAATTAAATTATCAAAATGTGTGATGATGATACTTCAGCTCTGGTTTCGTTAAAGCTGGCTTTGCTGGTGATAAAGAACCCCAAGCAGTTTTTCCCTCCCTTGTTGGTAGACCAAAACATTCTACTATCATCAACGGAAAAGATTGTTATGTTGGAGATCAAGCACAATCAAGGAGAGATGTCCTACATCTTAAATATCCAGTAGAACATGGCATTGTTACCAATTGGGATGATATGGAGAAATTATGGCACTATACTTTCTACGATAAACTTCGTATTTCACCTGAAGAACACGCTATTTTACTGACAGAAGCCCCCTTAAACCCAAAAGCTAATCGTGAAAAAATGACACAAGTAAGATAATGCAAAATAAATATTTAGCAGAAGGGGTTATATTAAAACTTTAAAGTAAGTTGACTATTTTCCCCATACTGTTGTGTTGCAGATTCTATGTTCTGTTGGTCCATCGTTTCAACAAAACTTTCTATGTATTATAAGCCAAGTAATAATTGATGTTCTTTATCTTTTTTTGTAGATAATGTTTGAAACATTCTCCAGCCCATCTATGTATGTATGTATCCAAGCTGTACTTGCCCTGTATGGGTCAGGAAGAACAACTGGAGTGGTTTTCGATTCTGGCTATGGTGTTAGCCATACTGTCCCAGTCTATGAAGGTTATGCCCTTCCTCATGCCATTTTGCGTATTGATATGGCTGGAAAGGATTTGACCGATTACTTGATGAAACTACTTACTGAAAAAGGTTATGTCTTCACCACTTCAGCTGAGAAGCAAATTGTAAAAGATATCAAGGAAAAATTAGGCTATGTGGCACTTGATTTTGAGGAAGCAATGAGAGAGGATGATTCATCTGTTGAAATGAAGTACAAATTGCCTGATGGACAAGAAATAACAATTGGAAAAGAGGCATTTCGTTGTCCTGAAAGCCTATTCCAACCTGCCTTTTTAGGAATGGAATCAGCTGGTATACACGAAACACTTTACAATTCTGTAATGAAATGCGACGTTGACATCAGGTGATTTAATTTTTCTTTTTTATTTATAATTCTATTATTGAGCAAACTTAACATAGTAAACCCTTTGGCTTTTGTTTACAGAAAGATTTTGTATGCTAATACAGTATTGACTGGAGGTAGTAGCATGTTTAGAGGTATTGAAGACAGGCTGCATAAAGAGATAACGAGTTTAGCTCCACCTACAATGACCGTTAAAATTATTGCACCGCCTGACAGAAAATTTTCTGTATGGAATGGAGGTTCCAGCCTTGCAGCTTTGTCTACTTTCCAACAAATGTGGATCACCAAGAGTGATTATGACGAATCTGGGCCATCCATTGTACACAGAAAGTGCTTTTAAATATTTTCAAACTGTAGTGTCTGGAATACAGTATGAGTTTATGACAGTTGTTATTTTCAATACATACTGTACAGCTCTTGCTTGGCAAGTTTATGTGTTTGCAAGTTACAACAATATTGGTTCTACTCGAACCTTTAAAAAAATTTTTAAATTGAAACGGTTTTTTCAAAATAATAATACTTAAGCAAGTAGCAATATGAGAGTTCCAAAGCAGAGTAGATAGTTCATAATAGCAGGTTGCCAAATTACCAAAACTGTCTTCCAATGTTGAAGAGTAGATTGATGGCTCCAGTGGAGATTGTTTCCAGGTTATCTTCCCAGGCCCTTGGGTCCAGATAAGAATGCTTATAATGAAAATAGTGAGGATACATATACTTTGAGGTTTGCCTCTGATATCGAATCATCACTTTACAGTTGCTGAACTGTGTAATTCATATTTATCTTTAGAAACAGGATGTTACAAAATTCAACAATTAGGTAGGTTAATTGAATTATAACCTAGCCAAACCTTAACTGGTAATTAAAGATGAGTCTTCAAGTTGACTAATCAGACCTGTGT